CTAAGTAGTTGCCTTTGGGGTGTGGCCTCCTTCCAGTATATAAGGAGAGGCTTTGAGAACGGTCTCTAGCTTTTTGGCGTACCTGGATCCTGCGTTTGGCTGAGTCTTCATCTTAGTGGCCTACCAGGTTCCCTGACAATCTTGGAATTGTTCTTGGACTTGAACCAGTAGTCTGCTCTGTTGCCTGTTGATCTTGGGATTGTACCATTCTACTTGTTGACCTTGGGTTCATCAGCCTCAGCAGCAGCAGTTACATGACTAAGAAAAAGCCTTCAGCTTTAGTGGGCCTAGAATAAGAGGCAGAGCTGAAGCCCAAGGTCAAAGGGCCCTCACCCAGCCCCTAGAGCCGGCACTCTGGATTTGTTTGGACTTCTAGCCTCCTGAATTGTAAGATTAAATTCCTGTTTGTTCAAGCCATCCATTTTTGGTATTTTTGTTAATAACAGGACTAGAAAACCAAAACAATGTTCCTGGATGGATTTCAGAGGGAATCTGTGAAGTACCTGAAATCATATGCAACATTTTGTTTGTGTTTAGATATATTTATCTGGGTGGAAGATACGTTTTCATCAGATTATGTGCATCTATGGAAATACACTTTTGGTCTTTGGGTACTCAAAGCTTACCAGCTAATAGTGACTATAAGCTGGCAGTTTACTTGGGTTTATATATTTGGCCATAAACAGCCTAGTTGCCCACTGATGGAAACTTGGCTTTTTTCCTTTGAGGTCTTCACATTTTTTTTTAAAGAACAGCTCCGGGGAATGCTTCCCAGGTATGGTGCCATTCATCAAAGTTTGATTTTCTTAATTGTGTGCGAGTGTATTTCCTATTTTGTATTCTTCCACTAGGCCTTCAGGCCCCAGCAAGGCTTTGAAGCTTGGAGCCAAAGGAAAAGAAGTAGATAACTTTGTGGACAAATTGAAATCTGAAGGTGAGACTATCATGTCCTCCAATGTGGGCAAGCGTACCTCTGAAACAACCAAAGTGCATGCTCCACCTATTAATATGGAAAGGTAAGTAGTAATTTTCTCGGAACAGACCACATAATTTTTTTAAATCTTACTTCAGTGTGCTATAAATTCTTTTTGTGTCTGTTATTTCAATCTTCTGTTCTTTAAAAGACTTATTCACAGTACATTCTAGTTATTGACATAAAGTTATTTTTTCACCCTCTTACCAGTAATTAAGGATCTCTGGTGGTGCAGTGGGTAAGTCATTTGGCTGCTAACCAGAAGGTCAGCTGCTCCATGGGAGGAAGCTGAGGCAATCTTACTTCCATAAAGATTTACAGCCTTAGAAACCCTGAAGGGTCATTGTCAGTCAGAATTGACTCGATGACAGTGGGTTTGGTTTTGGTGTGGGTAGTGCAGTGGTTAAGGCATTCAGCTGCTAACCCAAAGGTCAGTGGTTCAAACCCACCAGCCACTCAGCAGCAGAAAGATGAAGCAGTCTGCTTCCATAAAGATCATACCTTGGCAACCCTATAGGAAAGTTCTACCCTGTCCTGTGGGGTCACTATAAGTCAGCATCAACTTGATGGTAGTGGATTTAGTTCCAATTTTTCGTAGCCATGATTGGGAGTCTTCCACCATTCTTTTATGAAGTTTGGAACTTGCCTTTTATCAATTGTGTGCTCACTAAATAAATAAAATACAATTTGTTTTCATGCCTGGTGTTTACCTTATCTCATAAAATGGACTTGGTTTAAGGGATTAGAGATATGATGATCATATCATCATATAGACTCATATGGCATGTCTTTTTCTACCCGTCTAGTTAAACTTCAAGGAGAACTAATCTTTAAGCCACAATTTATAAAGATCAGTAATAATAAATTAATGTATTGTGTTTAAACTATTTAAACCTAGTATAGAGCATGTTTGTCTCTTAGGGCTGTGGTACTGGTGGTTGGTAATATTTTTAAGTAGTGGTTTCGAGTTCACATATTCATTACTCAGATTTCTTGTCTTGAAGCCCAGAACTTCTACTGTTGCTAATGGTTTTGAGGTCAAGTGAAAGGTAAGTCTGGGAGGATACCTCTATAAGAAATGAGAAGTAGTTATTCTTTGTGTGCCCTATTCTATATGAAATGAACACTGTTACATCAGAATAAATCTTTTGAATTGCTAAAGCTTCCTGTGCTATCCTAGTGATTTCTTTGAGTATGAAGCTATTTTAAAAAAATTCGGGCACCATCATATATTAGAAGGTAGTCTGATAATGCTGTGGTAAAAGCATTGGGCTGCTAAACCAAAAGGTTGGCAGTTGGAACCTACCAGGCAGTCTCTGGAAAAAGCTGAGGCAGTCTGCTCTGTAAAGATTTATAGTCTAGGAAACCGTATTAGGCATTTCTACTCTGTCCTGTAGGGTTTCTATGAGTCAGAATCTACTTAATGGCAGTAGAGAGGAGTTATCATGTAGTAGAAAGAGAAAACTTGAGAGACTTTTTCCTGTTTAGCATGGACCAAACTCGTATGTTTCCAAAATGAAACACTACATTATCTTTTTTTCCCCCCATTTATTTTCTATCCTTTCTGTTTAACTTAAGGTGTTTTTTGTTGTTGTTTTATTGTGGTAAAACTGTACATAAGAAAATTCTGAATTGTCTTAAGATACACTCCTTTGTGGTCTTGAGTCTGATGCCCTTGTTTCTGGGAGGACCTAAGAGGTTGGATATTCCTTGCAGCATCTGCAGTTTACTTAGCTCAAAAATAGTTTTAGTACAAGACAGGTCAGAGTAAGAATATGAATAGATTGTACTTAATCCATAGCAGCAACACTATTTATTTTTTGAGGGGTATACATTAGGATACTTCAAAATTGAAAAAGTTCACATGGATATACAGTGAAGTCTTCCCCTACCCCTTTTTCCCAGGTACACTTTTTTTTCTCTGGAGGCAACCAGTATTACCCATTTTTTTGTGTATCCTTCCAAGGGGAATAGTCTTATGTGTAGGCAAGTGAAAATAAGTATATGTATTGTTTTTTCCCTGTTTATACACAAAAAGTAACCTACTAGACATGTTTTCCAGGTTTTTTTACCTAATTATTTTGGAGATAAGAATTTCTTTATTTGAGGCAATAGGGACATGACATCTGAATACCTGACTCAATGAATCCTGTACGACTATGAAACTGACAGAATTGACACATGTATAGTAGGTTAAATAAGAGTATTACGTCAGCGTAAATTTATGAAGTTGATAACTGTACTGTGGTAAGAATATCTGTATTCTTAGAAAATACTTAATGAAATATTTAGGGGTAACAGGCTACAATGTATATAATATAACCTGCCTTCAAATGGTTCAGGAAAAGGAATGAAATAAATACACAGAGAGTGGATGCACACACAAGCAAACACAAGTGCAAATGATAACATGAATGGGGTAAAATACTAATAACAGGAAATCTTGGTAAAGGTATACATGTATTTCCTTTTAGAACCTTTTCATTCCTTGTATAATTTTTATTTTTCAATTTCTTAAAGTTTGAAAGTTTTCTCTTTTTTTAACAGCTGCCTATTACTCAGTTGTATGGATATCCATTTATTTATTGAAGCAGCTCTCTGTTGATGGACATTTGTTTCCTAATTTTTGCTATTACAATTCTTCAGTGAATAGCTTAGTACATTATCTTGCATATATGAGAGTTCTCTGTAGGATAAGTTCTGGAAAGGTATTGCTATATCAAAAGGTATAATACTTTGAATTTTGATAGATACAGCAGCAACACCTTGTAATAAAGTAAGTTGTTAATCACTGAACCTTGGAAAAAGGGAATACTGGCTTCTACCTTTATGATCAAGTGTATGTATTACTTCTTCTTTACAGTGTGCATATGAAGATTGAGGAAAAGATCACATTAACCTGTGGAAGAGATGGAGGATTACAGAATATGGAGTTGCATGGCATGATCATGCTTAGGATCTCAGATGATAAATTTGGCCGAATTCGTCTTCATGTGGAAAATGAAGATAAGAAGGGTGTGCAGCTACAGGTGTGTAAAGGCTTTTGCTAAGGAGGTAGTAAGACTCTTGTTCACATAGCACAATCGTTCTCAACTGGAGTTCCTCCTGTGAACCACAAGACATAGAAAATTATGTCAGTTATATAACTAATGCCTTTCTAGGTACATAGGAAAGAAGTTAATTTATTATATACCATAGATGCCTTCAGACATTAATTCTCTACCCAAACCCAATTGAGAGCAGTTAGCAGCTGTATTAGAATGGCCTTCTAATACTGGAGTTTAATGAAATGTCATTTGGAAATCTATTAAATTATTTCATACTCATTAATAAAAGATGCAAAGAGAGGGGTGTTTTTTTTTAGTGTTACAAAGAGTGAAATCATAGAATACTGTTTGAAAAATAGTTTTTTTTCAGTTTTTAAACTTCATGGGAACATTTTCCTTTTCCTGTCTCTTAACTTTTTTTTTTTCAGTACACTTTATTTTAAAAATGTTATGACAGTAAATTTACCCATTTTGCCACTATATAAACTATCAGTGCCTGTAGGCAATGTCAAATGGTATATTTGAAAACTGCATAAAATCCTTACAAAATAAATGTATATCTCAACTATTTGAATATGTATGAGTCTTCTTTATCTTTATATTGTAGTTGTTCTTGTCACATTTTATGTAGCTGGCTATATATCTCTTGTCACAGGAGCAAAGCTTTTTAAAAAGCAGGGAAGAGTGTTTTTGTCTGCTTTTTTTTTCATCAGCACAGAAGTTGTCTTTTGGAAGCAGTACTTATATTATTTGACAGTAGATTCATTGGCTCTTAAAGTATATGTAGACCACTATTCAAAAGTAATTTCTTTTTGTTTTTTTCTCCCAAATATGAATTCTTTTAAAAAACTTTAGAGTGTCTTAGTTGGTTTGAGTTTGAACACTTGAGCCCTCTGTGCAGAAATGTATCTAAATTATCCACAAAGCTTTTTCCTCTCCTCCCTTTAATTTTATTGTGGTAAAATGTATATAATAGTGACGCACCTAATCAACATCTGGCCCCCTACTCAGCAAACCTGGCCTTATGCCGAGTTTCTTCCTTGTGAAGTATTTTGGAAAGGACTTTTTAATTATTATTTTTTAAGTGTCTTAAATCCTTTTGAAAAGTCTTTGAAGAAGGGAAATCTTTCTTCAAAATCAAAAGGAATTTCTGTTTTAGATGTGTAGCTCATTTTTTAATTAAACCTTTGGGCCATGTTAGACCAAAGGGAATTTATTTTCAGTTTTGTCATGTCTGAACCTCAGAAATTGCTTTTTTCTTCTCCTGTTATTTCAGACCCATCCAAATGTGGATAAAAAACTTTTCACTGCAGAATCTTTAATTGGCTTGAAGAATCCAGAGAAATCATTTCCAGTCAACAGTGACGTAGGGGTGTTAAAGTGGAGACTACAGACCACAGAGGAATCTTTTATTCCACTGACAAGTAAGTGCTGTTGGTCCTTTCCACTAAGCTAGTCTGCACTGAAAACTAGAAATAGTTTTGGCTTGTACGCTCTTAATCTTCATTGTCACAGCAAAATTCTTCTTGACCATTTGGCCTTTCAGAATGGACTCAGTGCTACATTTTGTATGTTTTAATCATTAGCTTTAATAGCTTTAATTTTAGAGTAGTTACTTTTAATATAGTTTACATTTGGATGTTTAAGACCATACCTTTTGGTTAGCTTTGATTTGCCATCTTTTCTCTCCTCATTTTCTAACACACTATCTGCTTTGCTTATCTTCTCAGTTAATTGCTGGCCCTCGGAGAGTGGAAATGGCTGTGATGTCAACATAGAATATGAACTACAAGAAGATAATTTAGAACTAAATGATGTGATTATCACCATCCCACTTCCGTAAGTGGTATTCCCTGCATAATCACTTTCCCCACATTGGGCTTATAGAACTTGTCTTAAGAAATTTGCTTTTTAAGAGGACCAGTTGTGAAATAAGCCAGATACAAAAGGCTACATACACTATTTGACTCCATTTATAGGCCATTCTGAAAAAGGATAAACTCTATGGGAATAGAAGAGATCAGATCATTGGTCTTGAGCAGGTAGAGAGGAAAACATTTGACTGCAGAGGGGCACAAGGGAGATTGTTTGAAATGTTTTTTTTACTTGATTGGCATGGTGCTTACAAGACTGCATACATTTGTCAAAATGCATTCGACTGTACACTTTCAAAGGGGTAGATTTATACCACTTCATACCCACTAGGTTGGCTATTATCAGAAAAAGGAAAAAAAAGTGTGTTGGTGAGGATGTGGAAAAACTGGAACCTTTGTACATTGTTAATGGGAATGTAAAATGGTGCCACCACTATGGAAAAGAGTCTGGCAGTTCTTCAAAAATTTAAACAATGACCACAGTTTAGGAGTCTAGAAATCTACCTCTAGGAGAAGGCTTTCTCTTTCTCTTTTCGCCAAAGGGGAAGATCCTTTTCTCATCAGCTTCTGTTCCTTGGTGATCTTCATGTGAAATGTCATCTGTCTTCCCCTATCTGTGCTTCCTTGCCTATCTACTCATTTTATATCTAAGGTGATTGTTTAAGACACACCTTACGCTGGTCTCATTAACATAACAAAATCTTATTCCCAAATGGGATTATATCCATAGGACTAGGGATTAGGATTTATAACATTTTGGGGAACACAATTCAATGCATTACATCATAAAACTCAGCAATTCCATTCCTAGATATGTAGCCAAAAGACTTGAAGGGCAGGGTCTCAAACAGATACAAGTAGCATTATTTAGTGTTCAAGAGATAGATGCAACCCAAGTATCCATGAAAAGATGAATGGATAAACAAATGTGGAGTATCAATACAATGGAATGTTATTTAGCCATAAAGAGAAAGGAAGTTCTGGTATATGCTATGACGTGAAAGAACTTTGAAAACATGCTGAGTGAAATAAGTCGGACAGAAAATGACAGGTGTTACATGATCTCGCGCATGTGAAATACCTGGAATAGGCAGATGCATAGAGACATTCATTCATTTAGTAGTCACTAGAGACTAGAGAGGGGACGGCAGTTCTTGCTGAAGGGGCATTGAGTTTGTGATGATGAAAATTTTTTTGCAATATATAGTGATGATAGTTATATAACATGGTGAACAATAATTAATGTCACTGAATTGTACATTTCAAAATAGTTAAAATTTTGTTGTATATATTTTACCACAATAAAATTAAAGGGAAGTGGGGGGAGCATTTTACTGACTTAAAAAACAAACCAAACAAACAATTTGTAATTCTAGAGCTATGTCTTCAGATGTTGGTCCTAAGTTTGTTCATGTAGTGATGAAGATTTTCAGGAGGAGCCGCCATTTTTCAGTCAAACCTTCTTTTTGTTTTGCAACTCTCAAAAGAAACTGAGTCTGTCAATTAGAGACAAGTGTATTTTCAGGGGAACATTGATTCTTTAAAATAAGATATCTACATGAGTTTCTTGTGTTTTTTAACACTTTTATTGAAGTATAATTGACATGCAATAAACTACACATACAGTACTTACACTATGTAATTAATAAGTTTTAACACATAAAGACCTGTGAAACTATGACCCCAGTCAAAATTACGAACAAACACATTACCCCCAAACATCTCAGTAACTTTGTAAATTTTATTGTGGTAAAATACAACAAAATTGGCCATTTCAACCATTTTTAAGTATATAATTCAATGGCATTAACTACATTTACAGTATTGTACAATCATCATTGCTGTTTATTTCCAAAACTTTTTCACCTCAAACTGTATACTAATTAAATAATACTCTCTATCCCACCACTTTCTTCCCCACAAGCTCCTGGTAATCTCTTATCTTTTTATCTCTATGAATTTGCCTGTTGTAGATATTTCATATAAGGGAAATCATAAAATATTTGTCCTTTGTGTTTGGTTTATTTCAGTTAGCACAGTGTTTTCAAAGTTCTTCCACATCATAGCATGTATCAATTTTATTTATGGTAGTAGAATAATATTTCATTGTATATTTGACACATTTTGTTTATCCATCTGATGATGAACATCTAGATTGTTTCTACCTTTTGGTTATTGTGTATAATACTGCTGTAACATTGGTGTATAGTTAATAAGTTTTTATTGTTTAGTTAAATGGCCTACTTTGTAGAAGATGATTTGTAGAATCATCTGGAAATACTGTCTACCTTAAGTATATCTCCTTCATAGCATTTCCAGAAAGTACGCACTATTAGTGCTTCACCAGTGAATCCCAGCTTTTCCACCATCACCCTTCACAATTAAGTACAGAGTGTAATTATAAACAGCAGTAAGTTCATTCTTGATGTATTGTCACTGTTAACATCGCTCAAGTTATTACTGCAGGGAAGATGGTACTGATTTAATTTGTAATTTTGTACCCATTTTGATAATTCAGGCCTTTACATGGCCAGGTTTGGTTTTAGCCATTCTTAATTCAATTTTTTTAAAAATATGCTTTATTACTAATATCCCCTTTGATGGAATAACCATCTGTTCTCCACAGCTTGGTTATTCTTCCAGGACAGTAGATGGCTGCCTTGAACTATTGTGGGACCTGAATGTTAGTGACAAGTGTGGATTTTGTTTGTGGAGATTTTACTAGACTGTTTTTAGGATACCACTATTTTTAGGCCTTTCCGTCTATCCTATAATTGTGGTTATGGTAATTTCCTGTGTCTGTCTTCAGTTTTACAGTAGTCTCCAGAAAAGACTTGTAGATAGCATTTTACCATGGTCCAGAACTGATAAAATTAGAATCAGAATTGGAGTCAAGGGTGCAGAGAAGGAACATGTACAGAGAAAGAATTAGGCCCATAAAATTGGTAGGAAGAAGTTAATAGCTCCTATCACCCTTAAAAGTTTTCTTTGTCTCCTTTATTTACCCTGCCCCTACTTTATTTACCCTGCCCCTAATACAAGCATTGAGTGTCACTGGTGAATTAAAAGATGATAAATTTAGACTGTGTAGGAGTAGATGACACTGCCTGACAGCCATGTGTGGGGGTAAAAGTACATTCTAACTAGCCCTGGTTCTCTTACAGATTAAGGTCAATTATATATCTCTTTCCACTATCATGTTCCCATTTTGTCTAGGAATAATTATATTTACCTGTTATGTGAAAGTCCACTTATAAAATAAACCCACTGGAGTTAAATACAGTAAATTTTGAAACATTCTGAAATCTTTTTGAAAATAGATCCTCTCAAAGGCTCAAATTCACCTTCATTTTAAATAACCACAAAATGATGTTTTAAATTTCCTCCTGCTATTATTAATCTGCTTTTTTTTTTCTCTATCACTTGTTTTGGTTGCCTCTATGCCACTCTAACAGAAAATACCACAAATGGGATGGCTTTAAAAAAATAAATAAATAAAGGTTCTTCTCTTACAATTTCAGAGGTTAGAAGTCTGAGTTCCAGGTACCAGGCTCTAGGGGCTGGGTGAAACCCCCTCAACCTTGGGCTTCAGCTCTGCCTCTTGGTTCCACCCACTGAAACTAGAGGCATCTCTTCACTCAGGCAGCTGCTAGCTGCTGAGGCTAACAAACACAAGGTTGACAAGTGAAAAGGCACAGTCCCAATGATACCAAACCACATGGCAGGCCATTAATTCAAGTCCATTAAAATCCCAAGATTGGCAGAGCAATGTGGCAGGCTTCTGAATAGCAACTTGGCTACATTCAGGGTTCAAGTGTGCCATAAGCTAGAGACTGTTCCCCAAGGCTTCTCCTTATGTACAGGAAGCAGACGACAGCCCTAAGGCAGCTGCTCAGCTGCTCACAGTAGATTCCACCATGGAGTTGATTACCAGTCTCATCATGGGGGATACCACATCCAGCTGCCCAGCCACTCAACCAGGCCCAGCCAAGTTGACACACAAACTTAACTACCACATCACCTCTGCTAAAGAGAGCTGCGTTATGTTAAAATTCCTTCTTGATAGGGCAACTCAGGAATAAACCATTCATGCAGGGTTTGTGGAAATATATCCCCTTCACAGACTTGTCAGTCACAGTCCCCTGCTAGCTCCCAGTTGAAGCAGCCCACAGCATATCTGCCAAGTACATATTTTTGCTTGTATGTATTTTTTCAAAGGAAATTGACTAAGACCCTTAACCAAAGTCTGGGACTTTGATCCTTGAAGTTATTAGGGAGCCTAATTTTCCTAGGACTATATACATGTGTGCAGAATTGAGGAGAGTAATAAAATTGGGGGCTGGTTTTCTATGGTAGAGTTCTTCTAGCTCTAGACAGCTAAATTGGCAGGGTTGTTTCTCATGACAGGTCTGGTGTTGGCGCACCTGTGATTGGTGAGATTGATGGCGAGTATAGACATGACAGTCGACGAAATACCTTGGAGTGGTGTCTGCCAGTGATTGATGCCAAAAACAAGAGCGGCAGCCTGGAGTTCAGCATTGCTGGGCAGCCCAATGACTTCTTCCCTGTTCAAGTTTCCTTCATCTCCAAAAAAAATTATTGTAACATACAGGTACTTCATTTTAATAAAGGGCCTATAGGAGGCAAGTGGTAGGGCAGATAGACAACATGGCTTCATGGTCAGAGCAGAAATCAGGAAAACTGAAATCCCCTGCAGATTCTATCTCTAATTCATTGTAGGATCTTGATCAAATCCCTTACTTGCTTTACTTCAGTTTTCCTCTCTAGATTGGACAAAGTAGAGAGGTTGAAAATGTGTAAAAGTACTTATGGCTTATGAAAGATTCATATACTCTTAGTTGAGTATTTTTTTAACCTTGTATATTTTATACTTCATTTGTCAAAACACCAAACACATGATTTTATAGTGCCTTTCTGTCACTTGGTTTTTATCTAAGGAACAAAAGGGTGTTTTTTTTTTCCCACTTGAAGGCAAAATTACTGCCTGCAGGGATCCGTCCCCCTCCTCAATGTTCTAATACAAATGGAAATGATTTTTTGGATTACTGATACCACAGCTTCCCCTCATTAGTACAGATAATCATGAACCAATTCTGTAGTAAGCCATGTGCTTGAATTAGGCAAAGCAATGAATATTTGGACAGTATAAACTGTCGTTCAGACTAATTCTGGAGAGCAGTTCTTTCTCTCTCTCCTCTCAGTTGTTGGATAGCTGCACAGTATTGGGAATTACATTGTTGAACTCAAGATATTAGGTAGAAATAGGTACATTTTCCTATTTGAGACCATCCAAAGAGTTAAGCTCATCGCTGTTGAGTCGGATCTGACTCACAGCGACCCCTCCTTGGGTTTCTAAGGCAGTATCACTACGGAAGTAGATTGCCCAACCTTCCTTCCGAGGAGAGGCGGGTGGGTTTGAACCGCCAACCTTCTGGTTAGCAGTCAAGTGCCTTAGGCACTACGCTAAGGACAGTATACATGCTCTCTCAGCGCCTCATCTGAATATACAAGTCAGTGGTTCAGGTGTTACATTGGTGTCAATGTAAACATTTTATGACTTCACTTTAGTGTAATTCATTGAACTGGCATTTATTAGAAAACAAAACACCTCATTGGAAGAGACCAGCCACGCCTAGGAAATGAGTATAATAGAACAGCTTAGCGGAACTCTAGACACAAGAGACTTTAAGAGTAAATCAAACAAATATATTAACGAATTACAACATTCTATTTTAAATTTAAAATATTAATTGACCATTCTGAGAAATGAGTCTTTAAGAATTTCATAGATTTTTATAGGACAGAGCCTGAGCTGTAGCCACTTATACTGGACCTTTTACTTAATACTAATACTGCTGTACATCTCATCTCTCAGAAAGTCATGTTCTCAAATTCTAACCCATTTAACAATTGCCTTTTCTAACTAAAGAACAAATTGATCATATTGGTGGAGAAGATGTTTTGAATTGCAGTCACAAATTGCAGGATAGGAACAATGGAAATTGACATTCCCCCTCATGTATTTAACTCTCTATCCTATTGGTAGCTGAGGACATGGATTCTTAAGCCTAAAAATTGAACTTGAACATTCTTTAATATTTCTGAGTTACTTTTCATACTGCTTTTAGGGGATTAGGTCAGTTCTATAGTAAGAATTTAGTCAGCATTTTAGAGACTCTATCTCTTGCTTTACCTTATTCTTTGTTTATTTTTTTTAGGTTACCAAAGTGACTCAAGTGGATGGAAACAGCCCTGTAAGATTTTCCACAGAGACCACTTTCCTGGTGGATAAGTATGAAATCCTGTAATACCAAGAAGAGGGAACTAAAGGGAAAATTTTCAGATTAATAAAAGAGAAGCCAACAGTGGCTGAAGAGTTTTTTCCAAATCTACAAGCCATTGGAGATCCTTTTTATTCTGATACAATGCACGATTCTCTACGCGCAAGGACCTTCAACTCATCCCCAGTGTTTCAGAGTCACAGAGACGTTCTTTGGCAAAGAAATAACACAGGCATAAAGGGAAAGGCTGCTGATTTCTTTGGCAGATTTTACTGACCAGCAGGAAAGCAAACTCTCCAGATAGTCCCCCTGTTAAGCACCTTTTCTGCGTTCATCTAAACTGTCCTTTACTTTAATCCCTAAATATAGTAATATTTCATACTTTGTTTTAAAAAAAGTTTTCTCTACAGATTTTAATCTTTCATATATCTTTACCTTTAGTTCTTTTTATTTAATCAAGCAGTGGGATCCTCTGTAATAGACATTGCATTTATTTGGCACTCTTGGAACAGGTTGATCTAAACCATTCTTGATTGTTAGGCTAGACATCTGAAGGAGGCTCAGAAGTTAAAGGTTAAAAATGTCTCATGTCCTTTTCCTATATCCTTTCTTCCTTCCATCTTTCTATTCCTTTGTCAAGTTTTTCTCTTGGGGCTGTTCCTCCAGTTAGAGCATCACTGTGAACCCCAGTTGTGTGAAAGCTGCTGAGAAGCAGCTTTCAAATGGCACAGCTGCCACTTGAAGATGCCTGGGAGGAGAATTATTATGTCTGGTTAGGGTTTTCCTATCCACAGATAATCATGTTTGCTGCTGGTGCTACCCAGGCTTCCAAGTCTCAGTACTTTGGGTACTTCAGCTAAAACATAATAGCTCACAATCTTTGTAATGCATTCACATTCCTCAAATTTACCACCTTTCTCTTTGTGACTGCTCTCTATGTCATCATTCCTGTCCTTTCTGGCAGACAAGGTTATGATTTTGGAGGATGTTGGTTCAGTGAGTCTTTTTGCCAATCCAGTTGCTCCTGAACTGTTGTGACTCTCCATTTCCACCACCAGGTATTTAGCATTTCAAGAGGCAGCTGATTATACTGCTATGTAGGGACTGGTTATATATATCCCATTTTCTTCCAGCCTGCCCAACAGTTTTCACTAGCTTATCTGTCCCTGTCTTTGAAACCCTTTTCTCCCCCTTAGCCTTTTATTTTGAGTGTTGTTATGTAATGGTTGTTTATCAGCTATATCTCATCCATTACTTTTCAGTGGACAAGACTACATCAACCAGCCCAGAATTGGCTTTTAACCCAGCATTGCACTCAGTAGAGTTAGTGAAAAGTTGCTACCTGGCTATAGCTGCTGGCAGTGGAAAGAGAAGTGACTGTAGAGGCCCTCCAGCACTTTTAGCTGGTTGGAGAGTATCACTCCCATTCTGAACAATAGCTGGCCTTCCCTGCAAAGAATGTACTGTACTTGAAACAAAGCAGTCACACCACACTAATGGCCCTGGATGGAATTATTTGCCAAAGAAATGTCTGGCCTTTCCCTTTCCCCTAACTGTATCAGGGAAGAAATTCTTATCTCTAACTTGGTTTCCATATAAGGTTCTTTTGAGGAAGGGTACCTGAGACAAGAAATCTGTCACGTAGTTAAGTAGGCAAGAAATCGTATTAATCCACTTTTGTTCGAGAGTTGCTTGTCCATATGATTTTTAAAAAGTGAAGTTTAGTTTCACAAAAAACTTTTTTTTTTTTTTTTTTCCTGAAATTACTTTTGGGATAATATTTAAAATGAGAGACGTTTTGTAACCCTGTAAAATATATAGGGAATATAACATTCCAGTGTGCACAAAGAAGGCAAATTCTTTAATCAAATAAAGAGTATTATAAAATGAGATGTTTATTAGACTCTTGACTCTCACACCTTGGTGTCTGCTTGCTGAGTCAGGATAATGTAATGGGATCTAAGATTAAAAATTAATGATAGGTTGGTTTGTTTTTTTTTAAGAGAAAGTAATCTGTATCTAAGAGTATTCATTGCCTTTTCCATATATTATAGGTATTATGCCTCGTGTATTTTTCTACATTTTTCTGACAACATAGATCTAGAATTTGATGCTACTTAAGGAATTTTGTGGGATGGAGTTTTAATTTTGGGGGCAGTTATGCAGACAGGAAAATGAGGCTTCATCTTTAAATACTAAAGATGGTAGGTGATGTTTGGAGCCTCCTCTCCCACGGACAGACGGTAAGAAGTTAGTGACCCAGGGATGAATGAGGAGTGTCTTAGGAACTGTGATAATTCAAAAAAGGCCCTTTTCTTTTTATGTCTCTTTTTTAAGTTGAAAAACTTTATTGAATGTCAGATTGTTTAGAAGGTAAATTAATTACTCTCCTTAATGAAAATTAAGCATCTGGAATGAGAAAGTTAAATATTTCAATGGGAAAAACAAAGCTCTTGTACTTTATTTCCTTGAGAGGAAAGGTAACTGGTCTAACATTGCTAAAGTGTGGTTCAGCTCTCAGACTAACCATAATCCAGCTAAAGGCAGCACACCAAAACCACTGGGCCATACTGCTTCCACTGCATCAAGAGGACTTTTTCAATTTTTTTTGTACTCGTAAGGGAGACTGGGAGCTCTGGTAGCCTAGTGCCTAAGGCACTTGACTGCTAACCAGAAGGCAGGCAGTTCAAACCCACCAACCACTCCTCGGAAGGAAAATGGGGCAATCTACTTCCATAGTGATTCTGCCTTGGAAACTCAAGGAGGGGTTGCTGTGAGTTGAGTCCTACTTGACAGCACATAACAACAAGAGAGACTAACAAAATAACTAAATCTGACTGAGCATTCTGTTTAATGTTGAACGCTTGTACAGTAACTCTACACAGAGGGAGGGAGGAAAGAGAACTCTGTGGACAGGGATTCCTTTTTAAAAAGCTGTCCATCTGTTCAAAATAGTTTCAAACCCTACATCTACCAACTCATTGCCTCTCTGACACAGCTTTTCATTTAACTTAGAATTTTACATTGGGTAGGTAGGACCTGAAAGATTTCCAGGGATAATAAAGCATAGCCTTTTTATGAATGTCCACACCACATCTGGCAAGGACTCATTGGAGGAAACTAGAAAGAAAATAAAGTCCTCATACTCAAGAAAATGAAAGTCTAGTTAGAAGCAATGACCACCTGTTTATTTAAAAAAAAAAAAAACCTTTTTTTTACTAAGCCATACAAGTAACTACAACCAATAATACTAAGCAAGCATGGGTCTCAGAAGGGAGTGGGGCTTCTGTCTTGTAAACTTCAGAGCAATCTCAGAAGGAAGCAAAAGCTCAGAGTTGACTCCCCTTTATGATGCACATCTCTCCCATTCCAAGCATTCCTGCCCCACATTCCCTCTCCAACTTTGATAAATAATTTATATTTGCAGTTCTAGAACTGCTTTGATATTCCTGGAAGAGCCACAAGTAGATTGGTTGCTGTCCATTGCTGTTACCCAAGGGCAGACAGCATCTCTGCGTCGGCCTCACATCTTTCCTGGGGAGTTAGTGAGTGATGATGAGGCAGGCTTTTAGGAAAATTAGACAACCTTTCCAAACTAAGCCAACCTACCAGACAATTTTTAGAAGCATGGGCCACCTTCTTCCCCCCAAAATAGGAGAACTTTTTGCCCAGCTATTCATAGGACAGGGCTAAATGGTTATTTAGGGCTTAGTCCTATTCTGTAAAGCTTCCATAGACATATGGATCAGGTTGATTACCAAACCAGGACGGGCTGTTTCAAAACGACATTACAAATTCAAGGCAATGAAAGAAATGGAAACAGGTTGTTTCCAATCTTTTTCCCCAAATGAATGCCTGCTCTCTTCAGCTTATATAGGAAGATGCTGAGCCATGGATGTAGACAAGACCAGTCTTCTGTCCTACCCAAACTACCCACTCAGTTTGGACACAGCTTTGAGTAGAGGTGTGGGTTGTACAATTTCTAAGATAAACAGCGAGGAGAGTTGCTCTTTTGCAGCTACTAAAGCTAGGTTTGAACTTTTTCCCTGAGTTGGATGCAATGAGGAGTTACTTGGCAGTGTTGCTGCCACCACACCTACACTAATGATGCTTGAATTCAGGATCCAAAGAGGCCAGAAAAGGGTAGCTTTCTGGGACAGTGTATCTACAGGGATTTCTTGCTGTAAGACCAGTGGTCACCCCTTAGTCTGCAGCTGGAGTGAGTACAGTTTAGTTTGAGAGAAGGGACGGAGGTGGGAAATGTGCCAGGCAAAGGCAGGAGGGTTGTGAAAATCCATGCCTGACATTCATAGCCAAATGCAGAAGACCTTAAAAA